AAAAAAAAAAAAAAAAAAAAAAAAAAAAAAAAAAAAAAAAAAAACCTGAAAAAAAAAATGTTATGAAGAAAAATAAAATAAACAACATTTGCCTGAGCATTACATCTAAATTCGTTACCAAATTTTTAAAAACAAAATAGAAAACAGAAAATTAAAAAAGTAAAAAAAGAATTGAAATTAGTGAGCAAACACGATTTGACACCGCCATCTTTGGCGATTTTTCATTTTGTTTTGCCTCAACAAAATGACTCCAAAATTGAGAGGCATGTACCTCACATCATACAGAACTCATAAAAAACAAATCAGGAAAAAAAAAATATTTTTAGGCATTAAAGTAATTAAAAATAATTAAAAAAAATAAAATTGAACGCCGTTTAATTTTGAACGCGAACACGCAATCCGCGTTCAAACGCACATTTGAACGCGAACGCACGTTCACGGCGTTCAAACGGTTACATAGAGTACGAAACACATCGATGTACGGATATGGAATGAGCTGTACGAGTTGCACGTGTCCCAATACGTACCTTATGAAATCCACCATTTAATCGTGGAAATTCTAAAAGAATACAAAGAAGCGATTAGTCTGACACAGACGTTGGACTGTCGTTAGTCATACAGCACGAGATTCAAACTGAAAACCATTCCCCGATTCACTGTAAGCCCTACAGATACTCCCTGGTAGAGAGGAAAACGACCCTCGAGCGGTTTCGAAAATTCGAAGCTAATGGTTGGATCGAACCCGCCACTGGGCCGTGGTCATTCCCGGTAGTATTAGCACAAAAAAAAAAACCGGATCGATTCGCATATGCATTGATTATCGTAAGCTGAATGACATCACGATCAAAGATGTGTACCCCCTTCCTAGGATTGATGATTTGCTGGATGCGATTGGGTGTGCTAATTATTTTAGTAAATTTGTTATTTGTCACAACTTCCATCACATTCTGGTTAAGGAGGAAGATCGACCGAAAGCGACTTTTGTAATGTTTGAAGACACGTGGCTGTGGGTTCGATGTCCGATGGGGATTTGCAATGCGCCTGCCACATTTCAACGAGCTATGAACGTGACGTTCCTGAATTTCGTCAATAAGACGCGGCTCACTCAGGGGATGATCAACTTCTGCGTCATCGTGTACATGGACGACATCCTCGTCTACTCGGAGACCTATCACGGGCATGCACAACACATCGAGTGGGCGCTAGGAGCTCTGAGAGATGCTGGGTTCAAGATCGCGCTCGAAAAGAGTGAGTTTTTCCTCTTGGAAATCTCGTTCTTGGGTTACGTGGTGACACGTGGAGGACTGCGACCACATTCAAGGAAAGTCGCAGCGGTGAAAGATGCACTTGTCCCCACGTCAGTGACGCAGGTTCGAGCCTTCCTGGGACTGGCATCGTACTAACGTCGCTTTATCAAAGGCTTCGCTGCGATTGCGCGACCTCTGACGAATCTGCTGCGAAAGGAGCAACCCCTTAGTTGGGACGAAGAGTGCGAACATGCCTTCACCACCCTCAAAGACGCTTTGGCGACGACACCTATTTTGATCCGGTCGGACCCTACGAAGCAATTCATTCTCATCACGGACTGGCAGCCAGAGGCGATTTCCGTTATTCTTGCGGAGAAAGGGAACGACGGTCGAAAGCACGTCATCGAGTACGCGTCTTGTACGGTGCCAGACGAAAGAAGAAATGATTCCGCCTGTGAATACTATGTTGTAGTCTGGGGAATTCAACACTTCCATCCGTACTTGTACGGACAGAAGTTCCTCCTTGTAACCGATCATGAGTCATTATTGGCTCTCAAGAAGCTCACTAATTATACAGGTATGATTGGACAGTGGGCTGTGTGCCTACAGGAACGCGATTTCGACATCATCCATCGAAAGACAGAGAGGCACAGCAACGCGGACGGGTTGACACGTCTGCATCGCCCCGCTAAGGTGTCGAAGGGCGAAGAAATCATTCCGTTGAAGGAACCAGAGTCAGCGAACGGACCTAAGTACGGATAAGTGACGGTCCTTCCACGTGGCAAGAAGCAGGCGATTGGCAACGGGTGACGAAGGTAATCCTACAACTCCTCTCTCTCCTCTCTCATCTTCATCTTTTCTCTCCCTACCCGATAAATTTTGTTATTTTTGTGAAACGATCTCGCGCGTCTACTCGATCTCAATGCATCATAGTGGGGAAGGGTATGCAGAATGGATAGATTGTCGACAGTATGTCGCACGAGCCCATGGCTCGTGCATCCAGTACAGAAATGGCGATAAGCCTTGGTTATGTCCCCTGTGTCGGACTGATAAGATCCCGACTGAAGCTCGATTTCTTGACGCCACGTCAGAAGGGTTGGAAAAGACCCGGAAGTTTAGAAGGGCCAAGGTATGGACGGACATCGCTCTAATTGCTACCTTGGTAGGAAACCCCCTCCAGGACTTCACTAAGGAAGACCGGAGGAGGGCCAATGACCTCGGGATTATCGTTGGAACGAGCGCCGGTTAGAAAAACGAAAGACGGATGGTAGCGAGATTTGGATGGTAGTGCCGCACCCGTTCATGAGGTATGACTGGGTTAAGACGGCGCATGAGGAAACGGCAACCCATTTTGCCGTACGGATCACGGAAGCGGCAATCGACAAGAATGAATGGTATTGGTCCAATATTCTCGATGATGTGAAATTCATCGTCACGAATTGCTAGGTCTGCGCTGCTGACAAGGCGCCGATCCAGCCGCCAAGATCGATAGTACCGATGGTAGTCGAACGACCGTTTCAGAGGGTCAGCATGGATACTACCGGTATTGTGGTGCCCTTTGGACCTAATAGCTGCGAGTATTCAATCCTACTGGTATTCGTAGACCATTTTTCGAAATGGATCGAAGCATATCCGTGTCGTACGCGACAAGTAGCTGAAATTGCGTGATACGTTAACCGGTTTCTAGGGATGCATCAGGATACAAAGGAAATCCTGACCGACAATGGGGTAAAATTCAGAGGGGAAGTTTTAAGGAATTTAGTCGTACATGGCATCGCCATTCGAAATACTGCACCCCACATGTCGCAATCTAATGGCCTAGTAGAAAACACAAATGGGGTGATAAAGACAGCGTTGCGACGAAACATCGCGGCACGGGATCCGAGGCCCTGGCCCAATATCGTAGATCACATCTTGGCGGTCCATCGGGGAACACCTCACGAATCGACGGACCTTAGCCCCTTCTAAATACGAACCAATAGCGTAACTTGTGTCTCGATACCGAGCCTCCCCGATGAATCTTCATTGAACCGACGACCCACAAGGGCCACGGTTCGGGACAATGCCAAGCGGCATATGGAGCTGATGGAACGGTCCCTTCCCCGATTAGCCCGAAAGCGCCAGAAATGACTGGGTTGGCCCACAACCGACAAATCCGTAGCTACAAGGCCCGAAATGGGAACGCAGGACCACGGCCCCAGTATAAATTAGGGGACCTGGTGCAGGTGAGGAAATGTGCTCGTCAAGGGAAGATAGCGCCACGATTCTTTGGGCGATTTCGCGTGATCGAACTCGGCCCGAACGGGGTGAACACCGTGCGCCTCGTGCCGGAGGTCTTGGGAAGCCGATCGACTCGACCGATCGTCCGTCACGTGTCCTATCTACGTCTTCTCCCCTAATCTCCATCTCCAGTCGCAACTGCTTCCTCCTTCACTACAGAGGAGGACGACGATTCTTTGTTGCTCTCATCCCCTCCCGTTTCTCTTGCTCCATCCTCATTGCCATCGCCATGAGTTTTCTCACTGAGCGGGGTCTCGGCGATCACATGCTGGCGCCACGTGACGACATCTCAGCAATTCGGCAAGTTCATCACCCACGATTCAGTCTAAACCTTCTACGACTCGCGCAGTTCTTCAACACTACTAGGGTGTACGCGGCGACGGAGTTCCGATTCACAGGCCATCGTCAAGCGATTGTGTTGGCAGAAGCGACAACGGTTCGACGGTTGTCAACCCCAGGAGTTAGCCACGTGTCCACTGTCATCATCTTCAGTGGTGACATTAGCGCGATCAACCCTCTGCGACACACAGCCATCCAGTCGACGCTAAGGCAGTGGGGTCAACAGCTGGCGGCAGAGTGGAATCAGTGGCTTACGCGCCACAGCGATAATCTTATCCCCACGGACGGAATCGAAGTCAGAGGGCTCCGAACGTCTCGACACGAGCCGGCGGTGGTGCTTCCTGAGCTCGTCCCTTTCCAGCGTCTTCAATGAACCGATCCCAGCTCTCTACCTTCGCTCTCCCCTCTCTCTTCCCTACCTTATGGCAGTCTGACCTTTGCCCCCGTTTCTCCTTTTGTCTAGAGTCCCTCGTTGTTCCCCTTCTCGATCGAAGACAGTGGGAACGGTGGTGCGAGCACTTCGTCGACCTTTCGATGTGCCTGGTCGGAGCGCAACTGACGTGGACGAGGGACATAGAGCACCGCGCCTGGGTCGCATATGTGGAACTGTTGATCATCCAAGCTTGGAGGACGGAGGTGGAAGGAGACCTCCTCGGAATTCTATTCGGATCGGTGCGGCCCGGCCATCGACAGCAGATCGTACAGGAGCTCATGATTCCCCTCGCGCAGCTGGCCGATGACCTCCCTCTCGATATCGTTTCGCAGTGCGACGAGAGCCCGGTCTCCCACATCCTTTCGCGAACGCTGACGCCTTACTTGCAGTGGTCGGCTTGCCTCGAGGAACTGGCAGGTAACAACAACCCGCCATCGCAACAACAGTACCTGGACCCCCGGGGAATAATCGACCTCGCCTTCTTTCAGCCTCGAACGGCCTCCAAAGACGAAGCAATAACACTAGAGGAAGAGGACGAAGAGGGAAGCGACGAGGAAGACGGAGAGGAAACCCCGGAAGAAGGAAGTTACAACGAGCACAACGAGGGAGAGCAAAGCGAAGAAGAAGAAGAAGAAGAAGAAGAAGAAGAAGATCAGTTGGAGGAAGAGGAGGAATCTGAGTGGGAGACGTTGGGAGAAGAGGCGGATCGCGCAGAGCCATACAAGGAAGATCCCGAGGCGGCGCGAAGAAGAGAAGAAATCGCAGCAGGGAAGCAGCCGCTGGAGTTCGTGAGTGAAGTGGACCTGTCGATCCCGAACGACCCAACCAAGGATCCCGAGCCACCCAAGGGCGACTACGGGGACCTTGGTGCCGGGACTTCGAGTGCACCGGCTAGACGGCGACGAAGCCGATGCCCCTCCCCCTCCACCTCAGCCCGTCCACTAGTTCGAGCTCGTACCAATGCGGGGCATCGAGCTTCGTCCCCGTTTGTTCTCTCGCCATCCCCTTGACTTCCTGATGCTCACCCGACTCCCTGGTAGACCCCCGTTTCCCTTTGGATGATGTCCCTTCCCTCCCGACCTCTTCCACCACCTCTACCCCACCGTCTTTCCGCATGTTACCACCCGCTCGATAGTAGATTCTTTTGTTTTCCACGTTCTCCTGTTTAGCACAGATTGGCGGGAATATAACCATATAGAAATATATTGTGTTATATCAGGAATGATCCCCGCCTGTGAAAACTACGAGAATTTTCGCACCGCTCTTCGCCGCACTCTCTCCACCATTTATCCCTACTATATTGCCTGTCTCCCCCACCATCACGAGGAACCTCGTTTCCCCTGCATCCATCGCTCCATCCATTACACCTCCCTTCCCGCTTTCGAATCTCCGGCCATCAACCGCTTTATGCCTCCTCTTCCCCAGCATCCTCCACCGCCTTTCGAATCTCCGGCCATCAACCCCAAAATCTTCGGCTAGAGTGGCGGGAAGGTAGGGCCAATTACGGGAGATCGGGATCAAAGGGAAATTGCATCGGTGTCCTCGTTTCTTCGTCTTTTTGCGTCGCTTCGTTTCGGATGGCTAGGTTCAGGGCCGGGCAAGTCCCGAGAGGGCCGATTGAGTGGCTGTCGCGCCGACAAATGCGCGAATAATAATGTTTGACGTCGCTTCTTTCTTATTCTGTTGTCAGGTTTTAGGCGTGGAGATTGCGCGGAAATTATGCTTCGTTCTTTTTGAATTTCTTTTTCGAATCTTGTCGAGCCTTGATGGCTCTCGGAACTTCGGATTTTCTTTTCCGGAATTTGTGCTTCCTTTTGCACTAGCTAGGAATTTAGGAATTCGGGATTTCTTTTGCCGCGCGCAGTCTTTCTTGCGCGCTCCGTTTTGCAGCTGCAACGGAGCTCTGATTAGTCGACGCCCTTAATCTTGCAAGTAACTGTAATTTTTGGGTGGGCGCCATTGTAACTATATCTTTCTTCTTGAGCTTCGTCTTTCCCGCTCTCCATTTCCCTTTTGCTGTGCCTAGTTAGCCCCGCGGCCTGCATGCTCGGATCGATGCGTGGAGAGTGGCTACGTCCCCCACGCCGCGGTCTGGCCATGCAGAACGTAGGCGCGCCCTCTCCTAATCTCCTTTCTAAGTCCTTGCAATTCTGTGTTCTTCGCGCATGCATGCACACTATAAATTCTGGTTGCGCGATTAGCTAACTCTCTTAACCAGCTGTTGGAAGCTCGGGGTAGCGCGATCAGTGAGGGTCGGCTCACGAGCGAAGTAAGAGGTGGGTTGAAGTGGGAGTCGGGCGACCCGACGAGCTGGTGCCGAATGCGCGGGGTTGACGCGTGGGGCTACGACGGACTGTAGCGTGCGGGTAACCTGACGGGTGCCGGAGGACTAAGCGGGGTGACGATTTCGTGGGTTGATGTGTGACGACGGACTGTCCGCATCGGAGAGAGAGAGAGAGAGAGGAAGACAGAGCTGAGGTTGATGGACGTGGATTTGCAATTTTCTTTGTCTTGCCTCCCTCTTTGCTTTTGTATATAAATTTTGATCTCGGCTCCGGGTGGCTCGCCCATTTTTCCTTGGTTTCGGAATTCTTGTCTCGGTTTCAGCCCACACTCGTTTCGCAGTTGGTTTTAATCTCGTGTATTGTGTGTTTTGTCGAATGAATGGATGAATGAATGTTATGTCTGTTGCTTTTCGTTTGACCGGTCTTCGCCATTCTGATACACTCATAAGAATAATAGAAACTCTTGTGTAGTCGTCATTACTGTTTCCCTTACTGCTTATCSCTTTGATCCGTTGTTSTTGCTGCGATGTCCGATGTATAGCGACACCTTGCATGCTCAGAAACGATTGCTTGTGGGATCACGGAGTGATTAGATGATTGGGTAGTTGTTTGTGACACTTGACAATTTTGCATAAGGAATTGGGCTCTCATCGTCCAAGAGACCAGCGAATACCTCGCGGGGATACGTGTAAGCGCGATCTGATCTACGCAGCCTACACGCATCCACGCGCGCCGATTCGCGACCATTAACGAGCTTGACAKCTCCGGTATCGGGTAGGCGRGAATTTTCCTTCCCCCACGCACCTAAACGGATAGGAATTTCCGACATCACATCGGGAAAATCCCCTGCCGGTTGGACGCGTGCGGAAGGCTTCCATTACGCCGCAATGATAACATGTCGAGCTCCTGGGACTCATAGTACTTCGACCCTTGGGTGAGAGAATGTATTAGGCAGAGATACCCGGAATTCCCCTGCCTAACCGAGAATCGATTGTGCCCCAGGGAGTTTCACTGTGGCGTAACCAGCGATCCGAGGTGCCCCGATTACCCGACTACGGATAACACGCAATACTTCATATCCCCCGACTTTGTTGTCACTACCAATTTCCCTCCCTTCCGTCTCCTCCTCCCATATCACCAACTCACAGTGGTTCCGTGGAATTCCATCGCCCCGTATTGGCCACGCACACCTTGCGAAAATTGTCGGCGACGCGGCAACCGACGAGCCTCTGAAACTACGGAGCCTAGCCAGAACGCGTGACAACAGATGCCACGTGCGTGCACCCGAAGGTCCAACTCATCGGAATCACAACCATCCCGGGCGGGCCTTTCCCCGAACCGCCGCCACAAAAACAGACGGATCGGACGACCTTGACCGCCACAAAAACAGACGGATCGGACAACCTTGAATGCACCATGCATGCCATCTGCCTTATGCTGCACGACCTCGACCGCCATCAGACCGGAAGTAACTCGCCCCCTTAGCTCTATTGCATCTATGCCCCTGAAACTTTGCCACAGGAGATCTCAGTTCCGACCTGGGACTCCACCCCCACTTTCCCAAAAATCCTTGGCACAGTGCCACCCCTTTTCGCACTTCCAGGCCCACATCCCACTCCGATCAGGAAGTCGCGTCGGGCGTGAGGTTGGTATCGGAGCTCGACACGTGGCCAGGTTCCGGGATTCATAGCTGGGCGATCTGGCTAATAGAGGACGACCTCGACCACGGAACGTGCATCGACGCGATCCCGTTGTCACTAGAAACCGGTCTGTTGCTGGAAGGGCGGCCACAGGATTCCTCCTTCCATTTCTTCCATCAATGCCCCTACTCGTCCAGGTTCGGGGAAAGGCCCGCCCGGGATGGTTGTGATTCCGATGAGTTGGACCTTCGGGTGCACGCACGTGGCATCTGTCGTCACGCGTTCTGGCTAGGCCCCGTAGTTTCAAAGGCTCGTCGGTTGCCGCGTCGCCGACAATTTTCGCAAGGCGTTCGTGGCCAATACGGGGAGATGGAATTCCACGGAACCACTGTGAGTTGGTGATATGGGAGGAGGAGACGGAAGGGAGGGAAATTGGTAGTGATAACAACAAAGTCGGGGGATATGAAGTATTGCGTGTTATCCGTAGTCGGGTAATCGGGGCACCTTGGATCGCTGGTTACGCCACAGTGAAACTCCCTGGGGCACAATCGATTCTCGGTTAGGCAGGGGAATTCCGGGTATCTCTGCCTAATACATTCTCTCACCCAAGGGTCGAAGTACTMTGAGTCCCAGGAGCTCGACATGTTATCATCGCGGCGTAATGGAAGCCTTCCGCACGCGTCCAACCGGCAGGGGATTTTCCCGATGTGATGTCGGAAATTCCTATCCGTTTAGGTGCGTGGGGGAAGGAAAATTCCCGCCTACCCGATACCGGAGCTGTCAAGCTCGTTAATGGTCGCGAATCGGCGCGCGTGGATGCGTGTAGGCTGCGTAGATCAGATCGCGCTTACACGTATCCCCGCGAGGTATTCGCTGGTCTCTTGGACGATGAGAGCCCAATTCCTTATGCAAAATTGTCAAGTGTCACAAACAACTACCCAATCATCTAATCACTCCGTGATCCCACAAGCAATCGTTTCTGAGCATGCAAGGTGTCGCTATACATCGGACATCGCAGCAASAACAACGGATCAAAGSGATAAGCAGTAAGGGAAACAGTAATGACGACTACACAAGAGTTTCTATTATTCTTATGAGTGTATCAGAATGGCGAAGACCGGTCAAACGAAAAGCAACAGACATAACATTCATTCATCCATTCATTCGACAAAACACACAATACACGAGATTAAAACCAACTGCGAAACGAGTGTGGGCTGAAACCGAGACAAGAATTCCGAAACCAAGGAAAAATGGGCGAGCCACCCGGAGCCGAGATCAAAATTTATATACAAAAGCAAAGAGGGAGGCAAGACAAAGAAAATTGCAAATCCACGTCCATCAACCTCAGCTCTGTCTTCCTCTCTCTCTCTCTCTCTCCGATGCGGACAGTCCGTCGTCACACATCAACCCACGAAATCGTCACCCCGCTTAGTCCTCCGGCACCCGTCAGGTTACCCGCACGCTACAGTCCGTCGTAGCCCCACGCGTCAACCCCGCGCATTCGGCACCAGCTCGTCGGGTCGCCCGACTCCCACTTCAACCCACCTCTTACTTCGCTCGTGAGCCGACCCTCACTGATCGCGCTACCCCGAGCTTCCAACAGCTGGTTAAGAGAGTTAGCTAATCGCGCAACCAGAATTTATAGTGTGCATGCATGCGCGAAGAACACAGAATTGCAAGGACTTAGAAAGGAGATTAGGAGAGGGCGCGCCTACGTTCTGCATGGCCAGACCGCGGCGTGGGGGACGTAGCCACTCTCCACGCATCGATCCGAGCATGCAGGCCGCGGGGCTAACTAGGCACAGCAAAAGGGAAA